AAGACAATTTTTCACTCAGTGTATCCCAGAGGAGCCAAACAGTTAACCATCCCTCCTCTCAATGGTACCATCTCCTACAAGTGACTGAAAGCAATCTAACTGTACCATTATCATGAAAAAAGGTAACAGTTTCTAAGTCATAGGACAGTTCAATGCAGTTAAATGATTTTAAATGAATTAATAATACATATATTTTATATATCTCCAGACAGTTGAACTGCTAAGTTCAGTATTTGAAAAAGAAAAACACAAACCTCTCAACTTTTCATCTCTTCATGCCACTGTTCGGGATCCATCCTGTATTCTCTCTCATTTCTGGGACTGAAATTAGCACTGGCTAGGAACCTTTTCCTAGGCTGACAACAAATAGCTATGACTAGGGATATAGTCATATGCAACATATGCTGATGTTATGGTTTTCCTAGAACATCCTGTGAACTCCTTTTTCTCAGACTAGGGAGCTCAGTAACTACTAGCCTGGTCCAGCAAAAACAGCAAGCTTCAAGTTCCAGTGAGAGACCTTGTCTCAAACACTAAGGAGGTGTTAAAGAAAAACATCCAATGCTCTCCTCTCACACTTCTGAATGTGTGTGCACAGGTGCACACACACACACACACAAGCTTTCTCTCTCACACACACACAGGTGCACATGTGCATGCACACACACAGAGAGAGGTGCACATGCACACACAAACACACATGGATCACACACACAGGTACACATGCACACACACACACACACACACACAGATCACCAATCCAAGTTATCTTCTCTCACCTCACACATGATTTTGGAACCTCCTCCAAAAAGTTAAAATGGGGTGGACTCTTTTAGAAATAATGTAGCTTAAAAGGCAGTCAACTGCAGGGAACTGACAGAGCACTTCGTCTACGTGGTTCATAAATGCTGGGATTGGTCGGTCCACATCGTTTTAGGGCACAGTTTTTGGTTAAAGCAATAAACGTGTTATTAGATATGTAGGACTTTCCTCTCAACATCAACTGAATGAGACAATGGGAGAGCATTAGCCCTGCTGCAATGGGAGAGAATTAACCCTGCTGCAATGGGAGAGCATTAGCCCTGCTGCAATGGGAGAGCATTAGACCTGCTCCAATGGGGGAGCATTAGCCCTGCTGCAGTGGGAGAGCATTAGCCCTGTTGCAATGGAAGAGCATTAGCCCTGGTGCTGGTGGAAAACTGAGGCTCACAAACACAGGAACTTGCCCCAAACTTGTGTAGTTTAACAAAAGTAAGTCTCTTGGCCTAGAGACTCAGAGAAAATAGAGTTTCTAATTCTTTCTCTGCCACTAACATGAGGTTTGACCCCCAACTAATACTTAATATCCCTGGTGAATTTTTCCACATGGAATGTGATAACTGGGCCTGGTAGGCTATAAAGAAAGCCAGGTTAGATAGGTAGGAGACTCAGGCAGGCCTTGCCTTGCTTTCAAGAGTCCCCCTAGGGCTCTGGTGGAGACCTCTGCCTTAGACACCTTATCGGAAGGGTCGGGTCGGCAATGGACTTTCTAATGCTCAGCAGCCCCCGCCACACCCTCCCTAAAGCTTGAATCTGCCGGACTCTGTCAGCGAAGAGTTGTACTGAAGACTTCCCAGGGTCTCAACAGTCTGCAAGCTGCATTAACGGCGAACTAAACGTGCACCTCCAGCGCAGAGGAGTATGGCAGGATACCGATGCAGGGTCCCGCCCCATCCCTGAAAGTGGAACACCAAATGCAGCAGCAGCTACCCCAACCTCCCTAGGCTGGGCACAGTGTTTCAGCTGCCTTCAGAGAGGCTGGAGAGCTCCTCTTGCGCCTGCGCGCACAGAGCTTGTGAGGTGGGAGGGGGAAGGCAGACAAGTTGGGCGTGGTCTGCATGGACTGGGCTGGTGCACAGCGGTAGTTGGCTTTGGAGGCCGTGTGGTCTGAGACTGCTTAAACCACCACCACGGAATCGCTATGAGAATTGCAACCGCCACTGCTTCCTCACACAGAGCACCTGCCAGTGCTTCGGTCACGGATCACGTTGGTGGAAACCGAACTATTCGTTGGGCCCCCGAGGGCACTATTTTCGGGGGCGTGTTTTGGATGAGTGGGCATCGCTGCTCCCTGCCGAATCGGTCTGTGGTTCCATAAAGCTACGGTTAATGCATTGCAGCCGTAGATGTTATGGTGCCTTTGGGTTCTGACAAGAGGCCGATGTGATGTCTCGCTGTGCCTAAAACAGGAGACAGTGACGTCACAACGACCTAATGCCTTCGAAGGTGGAAGGAGCGCGTCTTTGAGACAGGCCAATTCTAGAGGATTTTTTAAAGTCATGGGTCTAGCATTCTTGAAACTGGGGTGACTCCAAGAATCTCCATATCTTCTAGTTACTCCTTTTCTCTTCCCTGTGAACAGAGAACTCAGCGGCCAGAAAACGGCTTTCTATAGTGCTGCAAACTCCAAAGTTCTGGAAACTGGAGGAACCTAAACTTCTTCCTCTTCAGGAATCCTTGAAAGCTGTTCTATCTCCCAGGATGCTTCTGATCTCTTCCTAGTTAGCAACTCTAAGCTGTATTAAAGATCTCCCAAGGTTTCTACCCTCCAAGCTGATCACCCAAGGCAGGCCTGGTAACTGCATTACTTCTCACACAAGACCTGCAAATCAACCCAGCACTCACCTCAGGTCATGTTAGGCACTAGGCACGGGGCAGAGTGGAGGCAGGAGGAAGGAAAGATTGAAGAGCTTACTTTGGTGGGAATTGGAACCAGGAGAAGAGAGGAAGTTTTCTAGACGTGGAGGGGAAGAGTTGAAGCAGGCAAGAAAAAGCTATCCGGTGTCTGTCTGTCTGTCTGTCTGTCATTCCCCACTCTTGTGTGTGTGTATGTGTGCTTGTGTGCATGCGTGTGTGAGAAAGGCATACTGGATACCAGAGGAGAAACTGTCCCCAGTCACATCCTTCCAGAATTGAGTGATCACCTGCAATCCCCGGCACTACTTAATCTTGCCATTCCCTTGGAGCAAATGTTACTAAAAACTGGGCTCTGGTTTCACACCATGAGAGCTACATGTGGTATCCTCAGTAGTCTGGACATTTTTGTCTAGACTGGTGCCCCATTCCCTTACACCATGCTAAAACTTCTGCCCCAGGGAGTTCATTCTTCTGAGGATGCATGTTTGATATTGAAAGTCTCTCAGCCTCTGGACCCAGGGTGGGGTTTGGGATTCACCATGCCAGAAGCGGAATGTGCCAAAAAGGAAAACATCCCAAGCAAACCTTCTGGAACATTCCACAGCATTAATGATGTCCCGGGGGCCTGGCTAACTGCAGAGGTTCTGAGTGTCCTGAAATGAGTGAGGGGACAGCTGTGGTAGTCAGCTGGGAGAACGGAATTCATTCTCTCTCTCTCTCTCTCTCTCTCTCTCTCTCTCTCTCTCTCTCTCCCCACTCTCACTCTAAATTGTCTCACCATGAGCGGTGATGTTGACCATCTCCCGTCCTGATCTGAGTTCCAACACTTCAAATCAATAGCCCTTCCAAGAACCCAGACAGAGGCCCCAAAACTCTTGGAGAAGGGCTTCCTTCACTTTGGAACCTTGTTCTTGTACACCCTGATGGAAGACAGTGAGCATTTGCCAGTCAGGGGCAATACCACAGGCCAGCACCCACGATCTGGCACACTGCTCACTGGCAGGTGGGTCGTGAAATCATTTAAGAAGTTTTTGAGGGAGACACCTTATATACACTGCTGAATAGCGGATAGGTGCGGTGGCGACCTTTCTGGTGTGAAAATGCACATGGAAGTACCCCAAATCCTGGGCCGTCCACCCAGGTCTATCCAGCAGGGGGCAGCACGGTCTCCAACTCGACAGACAGTGCTCACAGGGACAGGCCTGGCTGAGGCCCCAACTCTAAATTGGGTTCCTGGGAAACAAAGGTCTCTGGCTTCCACCGGGCTTGATAGAATTCGCAGAAGAGGTTGGGGGCAAGACTGGCCAGGAGAGGTTAGAGTGTTTAAACTACTGCAATCCAAACTAGCTTTCTTGGTCCTCAGGACCCTGCTTGAGGCTGGGGTTTGGGTCACTGATGCAGGGAAGCATAGCCCAGTGGTCCCCACCCCTACATAGTGCCAAAGGAAAGCTAAACTTGGTTTGGAAAAGGCCAAGGGCGCCACCGTCTGCCGCGGTCCTGCGATCTGGGTGCTGGAGCTGGGGGGTAGTCCGGCCCCGCCCCCAAGTTGAAGAGCCCCAGCCGCCAGATTTCTAATTGTGGGAAAACTAAACGCCCAAGAGTAGGTTCAGTTTGCCTTTCTAAGCCTGGAGTGAGAATTCCAGGCCAGGGCGTCCGCCCCCACCATCCCTCACAAGATTTCCAAATTGCGAGGAATTAAGAATCGTCATGGGTTTGGGGCTGTGATTCGTGCTCCAAGCGGAGAACTGGGAGTAAGTGGTTCCTAAAGGAAACAAGGAAGGGTATCAACTGGGGGACTTCAGGAAGACTGGGAATAGCATATTGCCGAGGCGTGCTGAGGGCCAGGGCCAGAGGACAAACGGGTATGGCATTGCAGCCCGGTGAAGGAAGATCTCACACCAAAACAAAAGCCAAGGGCCGGTATGGAAAGATTGGGGGGGGGGGGTCTGGTGTGCGTGCAGGGGCGGGGTAAAGTGGGAGGCGACGACGACTCAGTTCCCGCCTGGGTCCCGCGTGACCCCTGCGATCAGAGAGGCTGGGATTTCTCAAGGCTTAATGGGAGGGTAGCAGATCCTCCTTTGCAACCCACAGCTTTTCGGATTTGAGGAGTTAGGAGACCCGGGGCCCTGATTACATAAATACGGAGGTCGACCAACACCACAGGAGCAGGGCTTCCTCCACCATCCCATCCCTGTCACCCTAACTGGACAGAAAAGTTGACAGGTGGAAACTGAACAGAGAAATCTGTTCCTCTCTAAATAAAAGAACTTTTCGCCCCTCGTGGCCCGAGAGGAAAGTATTCATTCTGTCATGCCTGTAAAATAACCGTTTATTTAATAGTTAAAAAAAATCCAGTGATAAATGTCCGTTACCGATGGTCAGCATAAAGTGCCAGTCGCAATACAACGCCCGGCTCCTGGCCGGCTGCTCGCTCGCGCTCAGCGATGGAGCAGGGGAGCGGAGGCTCGGTCCCGCCAGCCCGGAGCGCCTGGTCCTTAGCCCGCCCGGAGCGGGAGGTCAGCGGCGCAGCTGGAACGCCCGGGAGTCGCAGGGAGCCAGCAGCCCCTGGGGCCGGTGACAAAAGCAGATACACGGATTACACTTTCGCAGGCTTCCCACGTGGAGATGGGAAAGGGAGGAGGGACTAGAAATTGCCTGGGCGCGCAGATCTTTTCTTTTCCCCCTCTTCGCAGTCAAGACTTTACAAGCTTATATGGTCAAAGGGGAGGAAAATAAAGAAAACGTATAAAATAACAATAGAAAAAGTAATACTTCTGGGAAAGGCGCCACTGCGGCTAGGCGGAGTTTTCATTCCCTTTTTTCCTTTCTTTCTTTCTTCTTCTTCGTCTTCTTTTTTTTAAATGCAGTTTCCCTTCCGCCACGTGAGTTAAGTGCCGCCTTTTGGCCAAGAGTTTAGCCGCGTCCTGGGGGAGCCGCCCAGGCTGTAGGAGTCACGGCCCCGGGCAAGGCTCTGGAGCGCCGCAAGCGCTAGGGACCCAAGGGACATAGTTGGTGAAAAAAAAAAAATCCCCAAAGCCCCTCCCGCTGCCCCTCAGAGTCGCCTCCAGCTTGGGTTCCTCTGGAAAAGAAGGCAGCAGCTCGACCCAGGGTCCTGGTGCCCCGCAGGCTCTGTTTGTTTAGCATTTGATCTTGGAGGTTTTGAGCTCCTTCACTTGTGAGTGTAGAGTCTTGTGGACAGCGAGAGTCCGGGACTGGCAGAATCCTTTTCCACACTCTTGACACTTGAAAGGCTTCTCTTTGGAGTGAATATATCTACGGGTAGAGACAGACAACATCATGCAATGTTGTTTATGTATGCGTGTACGAGGGCCCCGCCCACTGATGTTTTGGTGTTTGTGGGTTCAGACAAAGGGGGCAAACGAGAGATCAGCAACAGGCCGGCCTAGACTGTAGGTAAGAGTGAGAAGGTGGAGGGGAGCTTTGGTTTCCTAAACAGATTAAACAGATAGACCACCTGCCTTCCTGAGGCTGATAAGTGGCAACGACCTGCTTCTAAAGGCTGAGTCAACACTAGAAGTCAGTCAACAGACCGGGGGTCAGACAGTTTCTAGATCTGCCCTGCTGGAGCAGGCAGCACTAGTCCAAGAGATTCTTGAAAACTAGAAATGCGTAAAATTAAGTAAAACTAAAACGTTCTGAGTTCCTATTCCAAGTACTCCTTCCCAAATCTCCCGGGCATTGTGGTAACTGAGAAAGGAGGCAAAGAGACCCAACCTTGTGAAGACCTGATCCTCACCGTATTTCTTTCCCCCAAGTTCTAAAACCTATCCTGGAGCGGGGGCGGGAAGGACGGGGAGGGGTGGCTCGTCCGTGGTTTGTAGAGAATTCCCAGAGGTAAGGGAATGCTTAATAGCCACCAGGGACTCTTAGGAACCTTAAAGGGGGGCAGGGGAGGGACTCATCAGGCCAGAGCAGCCAAAGCAGACCCCTCTGGGGGCCACCCGCGACGCTATAGTGCCGCACCTGTGGTCCCGTAGGTGGTCTTGCCTCCGGAAGGCTTTGTGGCAGATGTCACAGGTGTATGGCCGCTCATCTGTGTGCGTCCGCTCGTGAATGAGTAGGTTATAGGACTTAGTGAAGTGACGGCCACAGAACTTGCAGACGAATTCCTTCTTAGTCTTGGAAGGCAGGCGTCCCCTCGTGGGTTTCTTTTCTGGGGATAGCTTGGTCACATCCAGGAGGGCGCCCAGCCCACCAGCGGGGGAGCCAGGGCCCTCCCCTCTGGCAAGCTTGGAGGGATCTTCTTGTGTGGCAGCCAAGGCCAGGTTAGCGAAATCAAAGCGCGGCTTGGTCTTAAGCGCCACACCGCTGCCTCCCGCGGTGATCTCTGGCTTTGGGTGGATGACGTGAGGAAACCAGGGAAAGGCCGGCAGCTGGAAGCGAGCATCCATCAGGCTGGACACTGCACCTGGCACTTTAGAAAAAGAGGAACGTGGCAAGTGCATGGCTGGGTAGCCCAGGGTCCATTGGTGCAGATGTACGGCGTGCAGAGCACTGAAGCCGTACAGGTTGGGCAGATGGTCCGAAGGGACTGTGGGCAGGCCATTCACTGCCTGAAGGAAAGAGTAATTGGTGAGCTGCAGGGACGGGTGGATGGGCACCGGTGCTGGCAAGGTTTTGCTGCCCATTTCTGTAGCTGGTAGCGGCAATGGTTTCAATTATTGATCTGCAACGACAGGAAGAAGGATGGGGAGAGAGAGCCAAAGAGATATTCAGAATTCCAGTCCAGTTATAAGCACATTCTCCTTCTTCCCTTAGGGCAAGCAGGAGGTCTGAACCGAAGGCCCCACCCATGAACCCCACTGCCCTCTCAAAACAGACGAGAACATAAGATATAGAAGGGTTGTCTGGCCAGAATTCTTCGTGATGGTCAAGCCCCCTCCAAACGATATCTGGCAAAGACACATATTGTTGACAGAGCCATCAATGGAAAACTAAGTCCTCAAACACAGATCCAACCAACTTAGATGCCTGCTGTCAGCTGTGAATGATGCACACATAGGAATACAGACATGGCATGCAGACACCGATATCCACACCCCTAGGCAAACCTGGGCCACACAGAGTTACACGGTCCTGCAACAATAACAGAATCTGGGGAAGCACACTTACACACTTAGTTCACATGTTCTGAAGTAGCATCAAACAAGAAGGTTCGGAAGCAAAGTGGAACAGCCAGTGTTTTATGGGACAACCCTGTACAAAATGCAGGCACCTTCACACAGACATACCATCCAACTCCTGCCTGTTAAGATTTTGGGGGTAAATGGCGTGGTTTCCAGAAACCAAAAGAATCCTGCCATCATCTTTAAAGCTATCATTTGGACTTAGACTTGCTATGTACCTTTCAATTGGTGAACCCTGTGGACTCTGTCCTCTCGTTAGCTGCTTGCAGACTGCTCCCTGACCTTTGGTGGTGACCCTCATTTTAAGAAAGGTACTGACATCCATGTTCTATTCATTTGTTCAGACGAACAATTGCAATTCCGTATGAGGGAGCTCATGTGTCCTCCCCCAGGGGAGCTGTTTTTTTCTGGGGGTTCAGGCTTCTTCCATGTTATGAAAACCTTGGGCAAGGTCAATGTGTGTAGGTAGGAGCACTAATACCAGCCCTTCACTGCTGTGTTCTGTTTGCTCTCAGAATGCAAGATTAGGGTTCTTGAATAAGGCTGTTGCCATACCAAAGTGACCAGGGACTCCAGAATTGTCATCTTCTGGCCGCTTTGGTCAAGTTCCTCAGTATGCATGGAAAGTGGGGGGCTCTGCAGAGACACCTTTCATCTTTTGCCCCTCCAGATATTTCTAATTTGGGTCTATATAGTGGAAGTGGGGGAAGTAGGGAAAACTAAAACACTAGGGACCCTTGGGAAGCCTCTGAGCTTGGGGTTCAGTGGCAACTCTGAAGTCATCCTCAGAGCAGGATGTTTGTAAAGTCCTTCCCCTTTCCCAGTGCCAGCCTCTCGCTACTGATTTCTTCCTTGACCCCGTGCCTCTCTTTCTCTTTCTCCTATCTCTACTCTGGGATGTACCAGCTACTTTTTCGCTTCTGTCTTCACAGCTCAGACTCACCCCTGCAGGTCTAAAGACCCTCAGCCCTAAAGGTGAGACAGAGAGGATGGAGTCACTTTCCTTTCTCCGCCTGGGGCTCTAAAAATGCCTGGCTAGTTCAGAGATGCGCAGAACCTTTTTATTGGGGGAAGGGGGGCTCCCGGAGGACACATCACCTAAGGCACTTTAGCAGATTGCTAGAAAGGTGATGGGTGGTACAGCTAGACCCAAAGAAAGATGTATTGCTGGGGATGATGGGTGCCCAAAACACGAGAGCAGGCTGGGTGAAATCTGCCTGCAATTAATTTGGCCTCTCAGATAAGGAAAGCACAAATTTGCTGTCATCCAACCTGGTTAGCTAGTGTGATAGCCTGCCCCAGCCGCCTCTGCTACTCAGCTCACAAAACCTGTGCCAGTCGAATAAGGGGCCACCTCAGAGAAGCTCTGGGACAAGGAGGAAGCAAAGTACCTTTGGACTGAAGAGGAAGCTGGGGACCCATTTGGACTGGAGAGGGAGGCAGCCGCCAACTTCAAAGATCTATGGTACTTAGGCCAGTTGAATGTTCTTTGATTTGTCACCCCTTCCAGGCACTGAAAATTAGATCCCTATATTAGGCTCTATAGAAGACAGCCTGGGCAAAGAGGAGTTCACACTGGCTCCTCTCCTGCTAGGCCTGTGGGAAGTCAAGGAGTGATGGTGGCAGAACTTTTGCCTGACTTTTTTCTTACTTCCTCTGAGGAGCCAAAAAAGACTGGAGAGGCCTTGAGCTCCTGGAGGGGTGGTACTTGCAGCCTATCTGCCTAATCTTATTTCCTCCAACACTCCATTTATTTTTCTCAGCGGACCAAGCAGTTTACTTTCTGTAGCTTTCTGAGGCTTGAGATTCCAGGGGTCATACCATCTACTCTTTCCCCCCGCGGACCAATTTCGTTGGAAACGTGGCTCTTTACATCAGTACTACAAATGGACCGAACGTAAAATCTGATTTCAGGCTATCAGTTCCGAGGAAAACACAGTTGCAGATATGCCTCCGCGGCCAGAAAAGATGAGCAAACATCAACAGCGGGCCGCTCCAGCTCCAGCGCTCCCCACTCCTCCTCCCAGACTCCAACCTCAGCTTTTCATCTGTTAACCCGACAGGGACCACCTATTCTAGGGCCCAGCATCCACTCCATGTGGAGCTCAGGCCTGGCGACTTGGGAAGCACTAGTAGGTGTTCCGACTCGCTGCAGTGAACTCAATTCGAGCCTCAGAGCAGGGGTCCCTGTGCGACATAGTCATTCATGTCCCTCTTGCAGTGGAACGCCAATCCCGCGTCTGCCGCCAGCCTTGTGCAGGGCATTAATGAAGTGTGCAGCCTATTAAAGTGGTTTATTCGGGGCTAATTGAGCGTGAGCAAGTTAACTGCTTGCATTAATGAGGACAGAACAAACCCCACGAGCTTGTGCCTGAAGAAGCCCAACAGCACACCCCCCTTCAACAAAAATCATCCTTGACATAAAATCCTCAGTTGAATGGCGGCAGGCTTTGGGATCCAGCTCCAGAGGATTGACCAGCACCAGATACTTTGGCTACATTTTTTTTTTTCAAACAAACGAGATCGAACGAATCCACTTTCACTCGCCATTCTGCTAATACTGGGATGCCCGCTGTGTCCCCAGGAGTCGGCTTCCCAATCTTAATGAAACCGCAATTACTTTGGAGAGAGCCTGGGATAGACCATCTACCCACCAGTTGTCAGTCGTCGTTGGTTCCCCCATCCCTGTTAGTCAGCCCACTTCATCCCTGGGAGGCTGTGAAACTAGGAGAATAGTTTTGCACGTGGTTCTCTTCAAAGAGCCAACTTGCAGGTTTCATCGTGGATGAAATTCATCGGAGTTTTGCGACAAAGAAACCCTTGCAGCTAAACTCTGTTCCGGAGCCCACCCGGCTTGGATTTGTGCTCGCGCCGCTGAGAAAGGGCTGCACAGGAGAATTTTTAATCTTATCAGGGCTGCTGGTAGAAAGTAAGATTCATTCAGCAAACAGCCGCCCTCAATGTCTCTCTCTTTTCAGGTTCCCATCTTTTCCACTTAACCATGGGTTAGGCGACTACCCCCCAAAAAAAAAAAAAATCTCCACCCTAGAGACATCTGCAACTCCATAGTGATTCTGTTTGGTCTCCAGTTAGAAAACAATGTTCGTTTGTGCCCCCTGCATGCTTCCCTATACCAGATACAATCGAAGGTTAAGAGTTGCAGGCCTGAGGACACACAGAAACCCTCCAATAGAGATCATCCCAACCACAGTGCCCAAGTGTGAGGCAGGTTTCAGACAAGCAGCAGCAGCCTTGCGGTCCTGGGGATTGAGGGCTTCCTGTCTGAAGAACAACTCCGCAAAAGACCAGTTTGCATTTAAGCGCAACAGGGTTGGGGCACTGCACCTGTCCCGGGTGCTGTAGGTTTGGATTATGACCATCCACATCCTCTCCCCTCTTCTTCAGCTAAGGCAGGCCAGTCTGAATTAAAAGGGTATCCTACAAAAAAAAAGTTTATGCTTTCTGAAGTTGCTCTGGTTTCTTAAAGGGAGCCCGAAGACTGCCTTACAAAATCTGTGGGCACCTTACCAGAATTCTGCCTAGTCAAACTCTTCTGGCTTCAATGGCCCAGACCCCTCTGTCCCCACCTTTCCACGGAGGTCAGAGGCCAACAAGGGCGCAGAGTCAGAAGTCCCAGAAGGAGCATCTCCATCAACCCTACTCTGCAAGGGCTCTCACTTTCACCAAGATCCTGCAGCCTGCCTTTGGCAAGGACATCCTTTGGGGACACTGAAAAGAGGAGGCACCGGCTACAACAAGGAGTCTTGCCCGCCTTCGCCTCACTGAGACCAGGCGACTCAGGGCTGCAGTTACCTTGTTCTGCCGCGGTCCCCCGGCTGAGCGCGTCTCTGAGGCTCGCTGTGCTGGACTCTAGGAACCAGAGACACTGGAGCCCACTGGCACCCTTGGCGAACTGGAGTCCTGAGGCGTCTCTAGCCGCAGGGACTCCAAGCGCCCCACAGGCGGGAGCGCTCCGCAGCCCCGGAGTCCTGCCCGCCGGGATCTGGTGAGCTTCGCTCCTGGTTCTCTTTCTGGGTCTGAACCCGAGACGGTGAGAACTTGCTCGGGAGAGGCCGAGCTACGTCTCACTCATCCCTTAGCACCGAGCCGCCTACTTATTTTAATCCACCACCCCCTACCCCTCCCGCCCCTTGCCTCGCGATTCCTCCCCTCCCTCCCCTGCCCCCCAACTCTGCCTGCGCCTGCGCACTGAGAAACAAAGTTCTGCTGACCCGGGCAGCCGACTTTGGCAGCCCTGTTAGCTTGGCCTCTGCTTCTCCCGACCGGTGTCCATTCTCCGACAGCCCCACTCGACACTTTCTCTGTGTTTTTTTTTCCTTTTTTAAGACACGAAAGGGCAGGCAGTAGAGGAAACAGCTCCTACCGGACAAGAGAGGGCTAGAGCCGAGCATTTCCGAGTTCTGCTGTGGTGCTTGGGGACTCAGTTTGTGCCTATGAAAGCCAGGAGGAGCCCGGTGTGTTCCAACACCAGCACCTTAGCCTTGTACGCAGTTCATAGCCTGGCAAAGTCGCTGTTCTTTCCTCCCAGAGGAGACAGACCCCCTGGCGTGGAGCAGCGAGAGTCTGACACCAAATAGTGCTTGGGTCCTGGGCGGTGACTCTGGCAGAACTAGCTAGTTCCTGGTGCGGAAGGGCAGAGATTACTGACTGCAGTGAGCCATAACATCCGAGTGCCTATGGCTGACCACAGACCCTGGGGTGTGGAGTTCCGCAGAAACAGCCCCGGCAGAGCTTTTGGGGAGGAGTGGCGCTAGATCCCCGGAACTCAGAACCCGGGGATTCAGCTCTAAAGCTCCAGTCTCAGACTTGTTTAGGGTGGGTGGGAGTTTGGAGGGCAGCAGAGGCACTGAGACCTCTGAGTCTTGGGAAGCTGGTTTGGGTTGAGTTTGCAGAGGGAGTCGGGCCTAAAATAACTACATTCTAGCCGTCTTACCCTCTTTACTATCGATCCGGAGGACTGACCTACCGCTGACCTCAGTCAGCCCTCATCCCTGCCTACCACCTTTCTGGAATGCCTGACCCGGCTTCTTCAGAGGAGTAGGTGAGGATTTCTGACGCGACTTTCTGATTTCCAGAGTTAGGACTCCAGAGTGACAGGCAGGCACACACACACACACACACACACACACACACACACACACAAAGACACTCACACACATGGCCTCCTGGGGACCAGATGCCTCTCTAATGCATTGTGTAGTCCTTTTAGAAGTGTCCCACTTCAACTTTAGTGTTCAAAGTTGGTCTCTGTGATTTTCTTGAGGAAGCAGGAGTTTGATTCCTAACCTAGGTCCTGGTCAGGGAGGATGACCCACACACCTCCTTCGTCCCTACCACCATAATTGAAACATAGCTACTTCCATAACTGAACAGACTTTCGCAAGCCTTCAGAACAAAACCTGGCTTCTAGTCTCTGGCTAACTTTGGCTAGTGGAGGGAAGAGCGAGAGAAACGGGGGTTATATTCTTACACCCCACTGCTTGGTGTCCAAGTGAGGAACCCACGTAAGTGTGCCTATGTGCCTGGAAGCTTAGCAACTGTTAGTACTGGCTGATTCCTGACCACAGTGCTGCCTCTTGGAGCAGAAGGGAGTTGAGATCACCCTCTTCCAAGAGCTGAAGGACAGCACAGAAACAACATTCGGTCAGGCGTTCCCTTCCTGGACTTCACAGATTTCCTACCAATTTGACTAAAGAAGTTTTTGGGTGCCATTCTCAGGTCGTCAAAGAAGGCAAAGTTCAGAGAATTTCCATACTAAGGGTCAAAGTTTCCCAAATTGACTAGCATACACTTACGAAGAGCAATTCAACATCAAAACTAAAGACCCTCCCGGGGCTTGTACACCCCCTCTCCAGCTGAGGATTCCACACCACTTAGTTCTGGTTATACCATCTTTCTTCTTGTCTTTCTTTAAAAAAAAGAAAGGAAGGAAGGAAGGAAGGAAAAGAAAAAAAGAAAAGAAAAGAAACTCTTGGTCATTATGTCTTAGGAATTCCAGAGACCTACAGATAGTAAGATCCCTAAAGACCCGTCAGCTCCTCCACTGAGTGCGGGGGAAAGGGGGGGACATGGGGTCAGTAGGTTATGTACATTGGTGAGGCAATGCTCACCTAAGGTCCTAAGGCAAAGATCGTGCAAGTGGATTGTCATGTTGCTTTACTGAGTTATCTGGAAAGGCTGATCTAGCCTCCCAGCAACCCTTAGAACTGAGAGGACTGAAGAAGGGTGGGGAAGTAAGGTTGGGACCTCAGACTTTGGCTCTCAGATCTTTCCAGGGAGCTCTTAACAAAGTAGGACAGGACTGTACATGAGTATGTGGCTGGGTACTGAGGTCGCCTCAATGGGCTTTAGATCCCTGGCTGCTAAGGACTGCTTCCTGAGTGAGCCACAGCCTCAGAACACTAGGAAACAACGAAATCTAAGATACCCTAGAGGCTGAGTAGTGCTCCATCCCACTGTGAGCCCCTTGGTGAATAACCCCTTCAAAGTGTGGCTGCCCAATGTCCTGGAGGCCATCCATGGTCCTGTTTTCTTCTAGGTGGGACTCTGGGAAGAAACCCGGGAAAACGCGGTCCTCACCATTCTCCGTGCAAAAGGGAGCAATGGTGGAATCCTTACCCCCATCTGTTTAAGAGAAGTTGGCCAGAATAAGCCGGATGTGAAGGAGAGGGTGGAGGGCAGGGCCCAGAATACCTAGGAAGACTGGGGCACTTTTTGAAGGAGTTGCATTCGTTTAGAATTCTCCGGGATCGCACGTTTCAAACTAGTTACATGCCATAGAATGTCTGGACCCAGAGGTCCTGTTGGTCCCACCAATCCAAGAGTCACCAGTGAAGGTGAGGAACCTCCTAGCCTACCCACGCCTCATCCCTGGGGTCCAAGGACTCCGCCCCTCAGAGCTTCCACTGACGGAGACAGTAGCTTAGACTCCGGTAGAGTCTGCGGTCTGCAGCCTGTGAGCAGATTCAGAGGCTTCACCGTGACTCCCTCTCTGCCTCTCTTTTGGTCACTGCTTGCTGCCTGACTCCGGGCGAACGCCGGGAGAAGTCCTAGATTCTGTTGGCGTGGTCACTCCGGGTTGGGTCCCCACTGCAGAAATAAGAGCTTTAGCTCTGCACCCCCCCGCCCCCCCGCCCGGGTGCTACCTTGTGCATCCTGGTCCCGATAGAATCCCGGCAGGAGCGCGGAGTCCCAGCCCTTCAGGAGACTCCTCTGGAACTTTGACCACACCGGGGACAGCGGTGCAGCCTCTGCTGCCTGTCCTAGCTGCCCCTCACCCCCACCCCAAGAGGTACCTGGGACAGTGTTGACCTCCACTTGTCCTCCCGTCCTGACCCCAGCCCCTTTCAGCTTATCAGGATACAGCCTGTCTTGGAGTTAAAACTACTTTGGGTGGTCTCCCCTTGCTTTTGGCTTTTTGCTTTGTTTTGTTTTTAATCATGAAACGTGCCTCTCCACACTGCCCAGGATCACAAAGCGACTTCAATCTATGGTCAAGTGGAATTTACTGAACACTCGAGAGGCGTTGCGTCCACAACAAACCTTCCTGTAACTACATTGTGGATGTTAGAGGGCTGGGGGAGTCTTCTCATTAACCCCTCCCTGTATGCATGAACGGAGCCTTCAAATAGCGCGGAGATTTAGATTTCCCTCTGTATTCATTTAGATGATGAATTGGAACGGCCTAATAGTTCCTCTGGAACCATTATAGTCAATCAGGTCAAAATCCAGCTCGGAAGAGGTGGGGTTAAACTCCGGAGGTAGGTAGCATGGCTTCTGTACACATTTGAGACCTTAATGCTTCTGAAAGGGTGCAAGCCCAGCTAGGGTTCTGAGACTAGAAACCGATGGCTGCTACAGCGAATGTTTATTGTTGTGACAGCGACAGGCAAGTAACAAACTGAAAGGGAAAGTGAGCACCATTTTCCCAGGCATTTCCCGCGTCCTAAGTTCTTTGTGAACGTCTTAGCATCTTCTTACTGGTAATAGACATAGCAAGACACCCACGTGGGTATCCACCTTTGTCTTTGTTCCTGTTTGAAGGATACGTGGAAAGCAACAATATGCACGTGGGGTTGCTCGAACTCCGGTCGTTCTCTTCGGTAAAATGACATGATAATGATTTGTACAAAATACTTTCGGAGGGCACGGAAGAGGTTGGAGAGGAGTTGGCGTTTTGTTTTGTTTTTGTAAAAAAAAAAAAAATCTAAAGGGTTAGCCTCATTTTGACACACAACCAGCTGTGCTCTGACGGTATTGAAATTTTCTTTCCTCCAAGGTGGTAAGTGAGTGTCTCAGAAAAGACCCGGTGTCTAATAAAGCAATAGAGCATGGAGAAGAGTTGCTGCAGTGGAGTTACGTGAGTTTAGGATAGAACCCTGTGTTAGAATCACCTACCACACCCGCGGCCCTGCGTGCCGGACCTGCCAGGGACGCTGGAGGATGGAGCGCTCCAGGTAATTAAACATTTCCAGACACTGGAGGGCTGTTATCTGCACAGCGATTTCCGGATGGGGCCCCTGAACAAGTCTGGCTGCGAAGTTTTTAACTAAGTTCCCCAGACGCAATCCTGAAGAAAACGCGCCCCCTGCTGTCGAGGAAGCCACATCTCGCAGTGCCTTTTCTTTAGCCGGGAATCCAGCTATCCATTTTTAAATGTAATGGGTTCAAAGGTTTTCTTTTTTCCTTTTCTTTCTTAACTCACGAAATTTGCCGCTTTTCCTTTAAAATCACGCGGACTTTTACTCTTCTAGAAGCGAGCTGAGGGAGAATTCTCCCCTCCCCCAGCACACACATGTCCTGTGAAGGTTTTGTTTCCTTGCTTCAAACCAGACATTTCTGATTTTAACTTTTTTAGTAATCTGAAATCCTTGGCAAGTGTTTGCCACCAACACCTTCTCATCTTAGGAACCAAGATGAACCAAGATGGGGGTGGGAGGGGTTCTCAGAACTGAAAGAGCTGTGGCTCCCTTCCTAATGCAGTGTTTTCTACACACTGTTCCTCCACTAAAAGAGACCTGAACTTGAGTACCAGCTTTGGGTAGGTGTGAG